TCGCCAATAGTGCTCGGCTTACAAAGCTAAAAATAAAAGCTAAGGGCGTTGATAACAGAATTCAGTTACAAAAATCCTTAACAGAATCCAACTCAGTAAAATAAGAAAATAGAAATAGCAATATTCCAAATCATGGCTTTCCTAGAATATAATCCTTGTATTTCCCTGGAATCTTCGTGGGCCTCACTGCCTTGATGTTATTCTGGGCCTCCTCCTGGGCTGTGGAAGCTGGCAGGCCCTGCTCAGGTGGTCTCGTAGGCAGAATTGGGTCTGAGGTCGTATCAAAGAATGTATTGCTTTCGGGAGAAAGTTTTTAAAGACGAGTAGTGCTCGCTGGACAAAACCACTAAGAGGATTCTCCATAGCGGCGACAGCATCAATGAATGAGTCTTTGAGTGTGTAAGACCGATTGGTGTTTGTAATCTCTTTATCTTAGTAGATTGTTCACTGCCTGTACGTGGCCCCGCAGAGTAGGTATGCGTACCGAACTGCGATATCATTTCTGGTGTCTTTTATGTTTTCGCATTACTTTTCTGCACTTATAATTTGTTGCTGCTGAATAAAAAAAATGTATCTATTTACACGTACCTGTCATCAGTGTTACAACTAGTGTTATAACAATCTTTGTGATACCGACCGAAAAACAGACCTAACAAAAACGATTGTTTGCTTTACAATAAAAAATAAAAAAAACCCATATCAGATCACACTCCAGATGATGAATTGCCTTGGACATCTTCTCTGATGAATTGCTTAAGATCATGGTTTGGATTTCCTTTTGATCTTTTGTATGTATGTATGCATTTTTTTTTTTTAATGCTTGTAGGTATTCATGAAAAGTATGACCAATAAGTGTGTGTATATACTTATATATATATATATATAGATATTATAGTATGTCTTTTTATATGCATACAATCGTCCATTTAATATTATTATTTATTGTAGTTCTAATATTTTTTCCTGATTAATCATCTGAACAGATTTCCTAAACATCAAGTAAATATAAAATCGGTTCCTCGAACATCAAGTGTAGATCATCAACATCGATCAATCATATTAATGGGGCGTGGAAAACTGCCACGGAGGCTAATACCAAAGGAGAGAGCACGAAGAATAACATTAGAAAGGGCACATTTAGAACTCGTTTTAAAATAATTTTATTTTTTGTATGAAAATGAAAATGAAAACGTTTTCAATCTCAAACATAAATCATTTTTGAAAATGCGTTTAGTAGTTTTATCAAAATATTATTTTTAGTGTAAAAAAACCCATTAATGTCTCTCTTTGCTCGAGAGAAGAGAAAATGAAAACAAAAAATGAAAAACGATTTAATCATTTTTTATTTTTTTTTTCATTTTACACTAAACTAAAAAATCGTTTTCATTTCTTTTTTTGTCTTTATTGCGTCAAACGCCATTTTAAAATCGTTTTTATTTTTTCTTTTTTGAAAAATGTGAAAAATAAAAACGGGATCAATTCTAAACATGACTAAAAAGACATCATCTACGACACCACAAACCAACTCTCTGATCATCCTCATCAACATCATTATCATCATTATCATTATCATGATCATCAAGTACATGCCGTTGATCAGCCTCTTGATCAGTACTATTCACCTGGCCAAAGCAGCCTCACGAAGTGGAGAGCATAATCGCCAATAGTGCTCGGCTTACAAAGCTAAAAATAAAAGAATAAAAAAATAAAAAAATAAAAAAATAAAAAAATAAAACTCGTCTCTAAAAAAGATTTAGAAATCTTCGACTTGAAAACTCAAATTTAAAAATTTTTAAAAAATATTACATTTCAATTAAAATTAAAAATTTAAATTTATGAAGTGAAACACCTAAAAAGATCATGATGCTCAATTATGGCACTGGTCAATATCATCATCATTATAATGATCAATTTGACTTGTTATGGGACAATCGGATTGATGGATTCACTTGGACAACAGAATCAGTTATACGTCAACAACCACTGGACGGATCGTTACAATAATAACATGATGATCATGTGCATGACACCGCATGATAAGTACTACTGTGATATAGATCATTATCATCACAATCATCAGTTTGGTAGTATCTTGATGGATCATCATATGGGTACCTCCTTCCAAACGTTGTCCGATTATCATTATAACTATAACAATAATCATATGGATATATATATATATATGGATATATACATATATTTGTAGTGACGTGACATAATTCACGTTAAAAAATGTATTAAAATTTTACATTAACAGGAGATATTAGTATGTTCTACTTAATAATATGAGAATAATTTTCTCTTCAACTTAATTTTGTTAAGTTATTTTAAGCTCAAAGTTCATAGGCTCTACTTCTTGCATTAATTTGCAATAGGATCTCCTTTTGGTTTAGGTAAAGCTTTTATTTGATTAGCAAGAGTCTCTCATGTGTTGGTTTGAGGCAAAAACATGTATTACATTGCGACGTGTATATATATATATATACATACGTTTTTTGTCCTACATAGGTCGTTACCACACTAGGAGAGTAATCCATTTCAAATTCTCTCATTAACTTCACCAAAAACTAATTTCCAATCATGAAAAAAATCAAGTCTGGTTTAGTTTTATGTCCCCTTCATTTACATGAAAATAAAGTTTTTTTTTTTTTTTTTTTTTTTTAAGATTTCTCAAACGCGTGAGAAAATCAATCAACTTTTCAAATTTGCATTTGCAAAAGATGGAGGGCCACAAATAAAGTTTGGTATAAAAAATGGTGAAAAATTCTGTTTTATAGAAGCATATTTAGGCGCGATCTCTTTCAACCTGCAGATTGACATAAACGACATAAAATTATAGATAACCATATTCCTGCAGCACTTGGTTTACAAACACGTCAATGCCTTGGAGACCTTTACATGAAAGAAAATAGAGGAATGATTTTGTGGAGGAAAATGGAATTTTAGATTGTTTAGTAGAGAAGAAATGAGGAATAAAGGAAAATAAAAATTTATGGGACCCACCAATTTTTTATCCTTCTAACTTTGGGAAGAAAAGAGGAGGAAAAAAATTTGATAAAAAAATGAGATGTAAAATAATAATTTTAACCTTCACCATTCATCATATTTTTATTTGTATTGGGGTATTATTATAAAATGCCTTAAATTTGACATTTTCTTTTCACTTTTCTCTCTCTTCTACCAAATAACATGAGAGAAAATTATTTTACTTCCTTCACCTAAGTATTTTACTTATCTTTCCGTCATCTTTTCTATCCATCCTACCAAACATAGCATTAAGAGGTCACAAAGCTATCATATAATCTCTCTTTTACATAATAGTCTGTTCTTTCACATCTATAATAATACTCTCAATGTTACAACAAACTCACTCATCATTAAACCTACATGGGTGGATGTTTAAACTATTGCCATGTTAATTAATGATAAGAGATTGCATCCACCAATGTTAAAATGAGAACTCACATGTCACGTGAATTGATACATAAAAATTAGGATTTGAGTTGGTTTCCCTAACATTACTCGTACCACAAAACCTACAAAGTTGACGATTCTTTTGCCATCGTTTTTCATAGCTAATCCAAGATCTGCAAAAAATCATCAAAAGTTAACAACATATTCACAGAAGACGATGTAACAAGAATGGCCAACTCCACCACTAAAAACTTAGCGATGCTGGAATGAGAATGGTAATGGTAATGGTAATGGTATGGAATAGAATTGAATGAAAAGTTGAGTTTTTTGTTTGGTTAGAACTTTGCCCTACCATTTCCCAAATACTTTTCGATTCATGACCTTCTTTTCTTCCTTTAAAATCAAATCAACGGGGGCATAATTCTTACAAAATAGCACAAAACTAAAGATAAAGATTGAGGGCACATTTCTAATCTTCTCTATAATAATTAGCAACCTAAAAGCAGCCCCAACAACGAGACCAAACAGGCCCTTCGCATCCTTGCACTACTATGTAATTGGTATACTAGTTGACTTCAGAATTTAGAATTCCCATTTTACGTATTGCCTTGGTACTAAGATTTTCTATGTTTTTCTACTCCTCTCTAGTTTGTCCCCAAAGACAAGGTCTAATACTTTTGTTGCTTTCAAATGATCATAAGCTTTATTCAGAATTAAGGTTGTCATAAGAACATCCACTATTGTTTTGTGCAACTTTTGATTTTTACAGAAATGGACTTGTCAAAGATCAAGAAGTTCTTTGTGACAGTTTTGAGGATATTTTTGTTTGGTTAAAAGACTTTCAGAGGCTATTTCTGGGGCAAACAACAAATAAGAAGTTTCCAGTTGACCTTTGGAGTTGTGAGATAGTTTTCTTTTCATTTTTGAATGCATATGGATATTTTATCAACAAATGTAGTTAAATTTACTTGAGAATACTAATTTGGAGTCGAAATAACCAGCTTGCAGTGAATAAGGTGTTGGGTTAAGTCCCCATCAACAGTCAAATATCTGGTTCCTTTGCAAACGATGTTCAGAATCAACCGTTTAGATCAAGAACAGCGTCAAAGGGATCGAAAACAGCTAATTCACATAAAACTATCGAACCGGCCCAACCACCAACCAGAGCTGTATGCATTATAGCATTATATAGAAATCGATCGGCCGGCTAAGAAACAAGCCTTTAGATGTCCGGGATCGAAAACAGCTAATTCACATAGAACTATCGAACCGGCCCAACCACCAACCAGAGCTGTATGCATTATATAGAAATCGATCGGCCGGCTAAGAAACAAGCCTTTAGATGTCATCCACTCTCGCAAATCGAAAACTAGTATCAGAAAATTTTTACGGAGAATCTAAATAGAACCTGTTCCTTCATAGTAAACTATAAAATTTCAGTTGTACATGAGCCTAGAAACAACAATAACTACATAGAATCTGCTTACAAGTTACATCAGCTTACTCTTCCAAAATACCAAAGGGTTAAACTGGAAAGAAAGATCAGAAGCAAATATTATACGCAACAATTAAATGCAATGCCTAAGTTCATATGTACAATGCTCAATTCAGTGTCAATTAATAAAATAAAAACTTAGGCCCTCCACAGAATCTACAATGCTCAATTCATTGTGGTATTGACACAAATATATAGGGCACTAATTTCATAATTAGATTAGAAAATTTTAGTCTAAAAACAATTAAGTGAAACATTGCTCCAAGTTAGTGATTTTAGTTTTTATTTTCTCACGCCCGAGACCAAACAATGGTTTTAGACAGATTCTCTACCGTAGTTCCCATCATGGGCACCACTGTTTTCTTTACTAAGCTTAGACTTTGGCAGCGAAGAGGCTTGTCGAGACGATGCTTTGGTCGACTGCTGCTTTAAATTGAGGTAAGTGTAGACAGTCATACCAGCAATAGCTGTAAATGCGCCACAGATGCTTGTTGTGCCAGGATTGGAACCAAAGAGGTAATAGTTTCCGAGAAGAATGACGCACGTTTTGAACTGGCCAAGAACAACGTGGGAGACTGCAGATGTAGCCCTGTAACATTGACAGAAGAAATTAAGAACTAGGGAGGAAATGAGAATCAAACAACCGTCCAACATAGGATTTAGCATGATATTCTTTTTGGGGAAAAAAATTTAAATCGAATATGGGATACATGAAAAGAAACTTCCGGTCATCATTGATTGACGGAAGATTAGCAACAACTGTTGCAACCATGAAATCTTCAGACTACTTAGATAATAGGTACTAACAAGTAACAATATGTCAAAATGTTCCAAGACGGTAAAACATGCCACGCCAAATTGCAAGTGTGACTGAAAAACTTCATAGATCTGAACTTGATTATATAGAACAATTTTAAAAGATGTTATACAAGCTTGATCCAATAGAATGTACATAAACACACATACCCAAGTGCCAAAGCGCCTGACCACTGAAGCAAGAAACCAAGAAAGGCTGACGTGACAATCGCCGATGTGTTAATTAAGTTCCAATTAAAGGAGAGGACACCGGGCGGGTCTAACCAAGGTATTAACGCAACCAGGAAAAACAAGGTGATTGGTGTTGTCTTCCACATTAGCCTGTCCAACAATTCATCTTAATTAGAAAACAGAAACCACAACTAGTGTTAGGATATCCGCATTAATAATACTTCTAAATAACTTTAGCATTAATAACTAGAGAAAAGGTTATTATGTGAAATGCATACGCTAAAGCCGTCCAGTTCTCCTGCTGTTGTAAACTGGACCAGAGGATCTTGTTGACCGCACTCGGCACTATCCATGCTAATGCTACACAAGCGCCAAAAAGATGGAACTGTAGATCTGTTACCGTCGCAACAGCGACACCTATAGATACTACTGTAAGTGCTAGAACCTGAAAGATTTAAAGGTAATGACTCAATATACAAAAGAAGAAGAAATGCCATTTCATTATTGGTAGCACATAGCTGCTCGTTAACAGCGTAAAACGAAAACCATAACAAGGGAAACAAGATTTATAACTAAGTGAACTTAAATATAACCATGACCTTATGTTCAAAGGATTACTTTAGCATCATAACCAAAGGAACAATAGAAAATTCAAAAATTGATACACGAGGAAAGTGCTTTAATGATTCAGGTAAAACTTCTAGGCATTTATGTTTATAAAGTCTAGAGTTTCCATTAAGTATATGTTTCAGTGTGTTTACAAAACATGTAAACAACTCAACTTGAACTTCTTCCATTCCAGGTCACCAAATCTCGTAGGAATATGAAAGTTTTGTTTTCTCAGATAAAGCATATTTCTTTAGGTTCACAAATAGTTGAAGCATGACAGAGATTAAGCAATAGTTTAACAAAAGACACAATCAATAGAGACATTGACAGAAGCAGTTATACGCACAAAAAAAACACAGAAAAACAAAAAAAGGGACGAAAAGAAAAAAGTGTGGTGAGATAGAAGCAAATACCTTGGAGAAAGAAACTTTCTTTTTATACAACAAAAATTCGGCCAGAACAATTGATGGGGTGACTGCAATCTTAGACATCTGATAAAAACCAACGCTGAAGATGCACGTACAATTGCACACATATGTTAATTTCAGCATACCAAAGTGAGATATTTCATCAATGAAAATAGAAATGAAAAAATCGCACCTATTATACTTTAAGCTAACATTAGCAAGGCCAGTAGACAGAGCCATAACAAAACCAAGAGCAAACAAAGTAGATGAACGGGTCGGCTTTGAGGGAGAGGCAGGGAGAATAGAAAATGCATTTAGGACTGCCATCAATAGCCAGCTTACAACATAATGAATGAATGTGAGGAGTATAGGAAACTGGAATCCAACATTCTTAAGCACCTGAAGAAACAAATAAAACCGAGCAAATGACCAACTGGCAAGCCACCATTTTTCGATTAAGCGAGATGTAGTTTAGGTTACAAACCAATTTATTCATGAAAATAATGCCAACAGCAACCACAAAATTGAAGGTAAGAGCGGCAGCAGGACCACATAATCGTTGCTGCTGGCGTCTTGCACCTTCCAATGAGCGAAGCTCATTGAAGAGTGAGGCTCGTAAGTCTTCGAGAGCTCTTCCTGTAAGGACCAAAGTAGAAAGGCGAATCATGTGGTGAATCATGTGATGAGGAAACTGAGGTCAATATTTGCAAGAATCATTTTAATAATCTATAATCATAAATAGATTGCCACTTCATTATATTATGAGAACATGAAAGAATTTGAAAAGGTCAACTAGAGAAATTACACTAGATCAAAGTATATTTAAAATTATAGCTACCATAGTCAGCAGAACGGCTTATATATTTAGCTCCAAGAGTTATTATCATCTTGAAATTCACTTTTAGGTAAAATAGGATTGATCCATTGTCAAAACTACGTCAGAAAAAACGTTTAACTTTAAAAGGATAAAAGGGGTAGTACTTTACAAAGAAAGAACAAAGATAAGAGAGCCTAATACCTACAAATTCCGTATATAAATATCTGCACAACCAATGATTAATAATTAAATTTGATCAAATGAAACCAACAAAAAATTAGCTTTTTGGAGCTTAAAAAAAAAAAAAGTTGACCTCTTGGTCTAGTGGCCCTGGGGTTTTGGGTTTGGGGGATGCGGTTCAATTCCGTGTTGTATAAAAAAAATTTGCAAATATCAAACAAAAAGGCAAGGTTCCTTCAAATTCTAAACAGATATTGCTCATACAAAATGTATAAACTTCATAAAAAGTTCAAACAAACTAATTTTCAAACCATTCAAAAGCAATAGAGATCGCCCAAAAAAAAATACGAATTAACTAAAAACTGTTTTTGACTCTTAATCATCTTAAGGCATCTTTCAGACCCAGATCAACAAAAACAGGGAAATCTTCATAGCTAAAGAAAATGAAAATACCCAAGAAAACCTCACATTGTGAATTAATTAAGCTTGTGCAACAAAAGTTATGCACAAAACCGAAATGACCCAAATGATGTATTAAGCTTTCTACCAAAACAAAATGATGGATTAAGCTTGTGCAACAAAACAACCACAAACTCAGATAACCCAAATGATGAATTAAGCTTGTGAAACAAAATACCCACAAATCCAAATGAACAAAAAAAATACGAACTTGAAAACAAAAAAAACGAAAAAAAAAAAGAAGTAAATAATGTTAATGAGTTATAATAATAACAGTACCTCTTTCACCGGCATCACTGTCTTTGCGCTTGAGAATCTTCCTAACATCTTTCCTTATTAAGAAATGAAACATTGTACATCTACAAAAGCATTCCCTTTCACTCTCTCCCCACTCTAAATCACTTTTTATTGCTTATTAACCCCAAAAAAAATCACTTTCTGGGTTTTTTTCTCTCTTTTTCTTTTTTGCTTCTAAAAACCCAGCTATAATGGAGAATGGAAGCTAGAAAGAAGAGAGAGAAAGAGTAAAGAGAGAAGAAGAAGAAGAACAGTGAAAATGGAGAAGAACAGTAAGAATGGAGAAGAAAGAACTCAAGCCCAGTGGAAATCCAAATAGAGAGTCTTCTTTTTATTTTTTACATTTTTAAGTTAAACTACCGTTTGGGGAAAACAGGGTACAGGACAAATAAATTTTATTGTATTTATTTATTTATTTATTTTGCTTTCCGACATAGCACAAAAGAGATATTTTTCTGAGTGAAAAAAAGTTTTTTGGAGCTCCAAGACAAAGAGAGAGAGAAAAGGGGAGTCGCCACGTGGGCTAATGTGAGCGGCGATGGCGGAAAATTGAAGATGTCGGGAGTGAAGTGAGAGAAAGGCTTGAGCAAATCACGCTGTGACAGAGAGAGAGAGAGAGAGAGAGAGGAGAGAGAGAAACCGAGAGTTGAGCAATGTTGTTTGTATTGACGTGTGTTTTTTTTTTTTTTTTAAGCTATTATCATTGGTAGCTTTTAGGGCGTGTTTGGTTGGGTGGAAAGAAATATAATAGAATAGAATAAAATTTTAATTTAATGTTTGGTTAAATTTATAAGAAATGAATAATCATTCAAAAGGAATGGTTATTCATCTATTTTGAGTGAATCATTATTCATTTCTCATATGAGAGAAATAGTCATTTTAAGTTCTTTTTTTATTTTTTTTTATAATTACCCTTCAATATTATAATATAATTAAAATATATTATATAGTAGTTATATAATATTGTTATATTATATATCATAATTATATAATAATAATTTTATTATATTATATTACATTTTATATATTATAATATTATAATTATATTAACAATTTTAATAATATTGTTATATTATATATCATAATTATATAATAATAATTTTATTATATTATATTACATTTTATATATTATAATATTATAATTATATTAACAATTTTAATAATATTGTTATATTATATATCATAATTATATAATAATAATTTTATTATATTATATTACATTTTATATATTATAATATTATAATTATATTAACAATTTTAATAATATTGTTATATTATATATCATAATTATATAATAATAATTTTATTATATTATATTACATTTTATATATTATAATATTATAATTATATTAACAATTTTAATAATATTGTTATATTATATATCATAATTATATAATAATAATTTTATTATATTATATTACATTTTATATATTATAATATTATAATTATATTAACAATTTTAATAATATTGTTATATTATATATCATAATTATATAATAATAAATTTATTATATTATATTACATTTTATATATTATATTGATAGATAAAATATTAGTGTTATATATAGCATAAGGGTAAGTTTGTCAACATGAAAATATTCATGTTCCATTCCAGAGAATTCTTAAAATTACAATCAAACAAATGAAACAACTTTCTTTTCCATTTCATTCTCATTCATTTTCCCATTATCATTCTTCCACTGTAACCAAACGCACCCTGAGGGTGTTTTTGATTGGGGAAATGAATGAAAAAGGAAAGAAAAGACTTATGGAATGACCATTGACTTTTCTTCCATTTTAATGGAATTGTCATTCTTCCCTCAGATGGTATGAATGGCGATTCCAATCAAGATTTATCTCTTTTTCCTATTATATCTTTGTTTTTTTCACCGTCATTTTCAACCAAGATCCATCACCATCATCTTTAACCAAGACCCACCACCTCCCTCTGCCCTATTATCCTTCTTCGACCCAGATTCAACGCATTCATTGTTCTGGTGAACTCGAGTTATACTTCTCCGTCGTCATCCCATACCCAAACTACCTCTGCCCAACGCCGCCCACGAACAAATCATCCTCCTCCACTCTCACACAAATCTGCTTACGTCTAGGCCGATGAAACCCACCCCATCCTCTCACATAATCCAAGATTCTAGTCAACCAAAATGGAAAACCCCAAAAAGTTGTCTTCATTTCAAATTCATGAACTAAACAACCAGAAATCTCATGAACATAAAAATCCCAAAAACCCATCAGATTGTTGACTACCATAAATCTCAAACATTGTTGTCATCGTGAGAAGCATAGACGATCTTTTTTGGATTGGAAAAAAAAAAGAAAAAAAAAGCTTCATAGAAAGGTACACATGACACCAACAAAAAAGAAGTAAAACAAGGAGTAAAAAGAAATTCTCTCGCCTCCACTCGATGAGGTCATCTTATGGGTATTTCATGGTTGTGGAGAGAAGAAGAAAATTGAAAAGGAAAAAAAAGAGGAGGGGAGGGGGGGTGTCGAGCCATTATCGCTCTGGGTTTATCTGGCCTTAGGAGTGAGAGAGACGGGGTTAATTTTATCCAAATAAAAATACTCATATTTATTTCTATCGTATTTGTAAAATCTTAATCAAATAAATGAATTATCTTTCTTTTCCATTATATTCCATTATTATTATCATTCATATTACCATTACCATTCCACCACTATAACCAAACACACCTTAAATTTTAGAGTTATTTTTCATTTGTTTTTTTAACTTTAAAAACTCACATTTTATCTTTTAGATTTTAAATTATTCATACTTAACTTGTTTTATTGTAATTTCTGTTAAAAACAAATAGAAAAAAGAGAATAGCGTAATCACGTGGCTTTAGATTTATGTTAAAAAGAAACAAATAAAAATTACATGACTTATCCCTCTATTTTTTTCATCTAATTTTAACATAAATTCTTATAAAAGGGCTTAAATGGGATAAATTTAAAGTTTATGGGACAAAGTGAGAATTTTTAAAGTTTAAAAAATAAACTGAGAATGACTTTAAAATTCAGGAGGCATCATGATAATAATCATTTTTAAGCTAAGTGTTCAATTCAATGTTTTTTCTTTCTTTTTATTTTTTAATTTAATTTAAAACTTGTAAGGTATGAAAAATATTTTGATATCAATATAATTTATTTTAAGAAAACCTTCAATTCTATTCAATTAAATGAAATATTTTCAGTGTGATGGTAGTGTTAGTCCAATAAATGTCTAATGTATTTTTACTAATCATTCTATACAAAAGAAAAAAAAATGTATTTGACGTATTATACGGCCGCCGACCTTTAACCTATACCTATGATTATATATCTTACATAAATATATAATATTGATACAACTAATAATAATTGTTCGTAATTAAACAGACAGTTAAATTATTGATTCTATTAGAGCATGGAGGATTTCTTTGTGCCTTCTTTTTCACTGATGTGTGCGTAACTTAATGAAAGAGATAAAATTGAGCTTTATACAAAATACTTTCAATTCTTTCAGAAAGAAATCCTCCTGTATTGTAGGTTATTTTGATTGATATAATAATTAACTTATTGTCTAGGTCAATCTTCGTCTCCTTATGATCTTCAAATCTAACAATCGAAAGTTAAAGATATGAGATTAAATCACACACAAACACACAAAATAAATATATCTAAATAGATTATCACAATCATAATGAGATCTGAATAGACCAAATATAAATTCCGATTGTTGAATTAGATCTAAAGTGGACTATCTTTACTCATCTTGAAAATGTACTGAGGCTCGTTCATTTCATCAATTCGAGTTTTGTTACAGTAAAAAACCTCTTAGAAACAGTCACACTTAACTTTTTTGTTACAGTAAAAAGTTCTCACATAAAGTTACATCTCAACTCGAATAAAAAAAGTTACATTTATTTGACAATATTACAACAAATGTTGAAAATCTTACAATTTAAAACTACGCCCTTTCGATTTTTATAATAAAAATGACAAATGCGATATTTTGATCAAACGCATGAAATACTTAATAGTATTTTTGTTTCCTGTACTAATTAAAAATTGCAGTTGCAGATTTAGATTAAGCGTAAATCTTTAATGCAAAAGTGCAAAGTTCAAATTAAAAATTAAGTGTTATATCGGTTCTTCTAGAGAAAATTGGTTAAAACATTCAGTGTATTCATCTTTATATATAATTACTATTTAATCTTTGGTTAAGCCTTATTATGTATACCCAAACAAGATAAATAACCTAGCACTCAATATACTTTTCTATTTCTTTTTTCACTTAAGTTATCTACACTTCTCTTGTTATTTTTTTCCCTCTTATCAAATAAAATATTAGAGTTCAAATCTCGTCAGTAGGAATTAGAAAAAGATAAAAATATGTTAATAAAATATTAAAACAAAAATAAATAGGAATTATCTTAAATCTGACACCCGGATCAGTCCAATAAATGTAACTTTTTTTATATCTCGTGTAATATTGCTCATTTGTGTACGTAACACTCATCAAATGTATACCTTCAAATTTGATTTAATATACAAATCTATCACTTATCTCGGTCAATAATTGATTTTGACTTTTAAAATGACTAAACTATCCTTAAGAAAAAGAGAGAAAATAAAACTAAAACTTTTCAACACTAAAAAAACTAAAAATTAAAAATTAAATACACAAAAAAACCCCATTTCATTGGCATTTTGGATTTTTTAAGATTAAAATCATAAGTTTAAAGTTTATTTTTAGTTTATTTCTTACTTTTTTCCATTTTTATTTAAAGAGTACTTTAGGTATTTTATGCTTAAAATCGATAGGTGATTGTGAAAATGTATAAATTTAAATATTAAATTTAATTTAAAGATATACATTTTATAAAATTAAAAATTAAAGGTATAATTTTTTAATAAACTCAAAACACAGTGTATAAAAATGTAAATCTCCTTTGAAATAAATATTGGAGTTGGAGAATTGAGATGGAAATGGTATTTGAGAGTGTGGGTGAAGTTTGAGAATGGTGTGTTGCACACATTTTAACGGGGACCACAGCAACATGATACAAAAGGCATTTTTTTAGGGTATGTTTGGCTGGAGGGAGGGAGAGGGATGGAGGGAGAGTGGTGGAGGGAGAGGATGAATCCCTTATTTGGTGAAAAGGAGAAGAAGAGGGAGAGGAGATGGAGAGGGAGAGAGTCTCTCCCGTGTCCACTATTTTAGATCTATTGATGGAAGGATCTAACTAATTCACCTAAATTTAAATAAAAATTATATTTTCACCTTTTATTAAAAATAATAAAATTGA